TATAGACAAATCATTGTATCAAAACGAGCTGCAATACTTAAGCCCCATGGAAAAGGAAAAGTATCAAGAGATCCACTTCGTAGTTCTGGGACCAAACTTTGACAGAAAAATATAGCAGCAAATTGTGCAAATTATTCTGAGCTGCAAACTTAGATGTGCCTTTATATTACTCGTCTAAAACATTGGAACCTGAATATCTCTGCGTTTGGACTGCTGGACATTCAAAATAAGCAATTTGATGACTTTATTTTGGGGTTTGACAAATTGGGAGTTTTTTTTGCTTTTAGTTGCAGCCCTTTAAAAAATGCACCATTGATAATTTAAAAATCCAAAACAAACGTAGCTGTACTCCTCCACAACACACACTGCACTGAATGACGGCCTAAAGAATATTGCAAAGGGTTAGCCTGAAACACAGAATATTGGTAATATAATGCTACCAATATATCAGTTAAGAAGATCAGGGCCTTGAAGTTGCTAGCCATGCACACTTGAAATGTTTGAGTTGGCAGAAATTATTTGTAAAGAACAACATATATTTCTGCAATACATAATTAATCAAATATGGTAACAATATCAGTGAATTCCAGTAATTGAGATTAAATCAAATACATATAGCTTAACTCTTTCTGATATATAGCAGAGTGAGTAATGGACTACTATTACTTGTATTGGACAAGAATCGCATACCCCATCTATAAGAGTCAACATATAATTGTCATGTCATGTTGCTAATACTTATTAATCCAGGTCTCATTAAATTCTACTGTGAATGTGTTACTTCCAAGTTAAGATACTATACTGTCTGATAAAATCTTATTTTGGGAAGTTGTGTTGGCATTTGCAAATACTTACTACAAATATTATTACATCTAGCCTTCATCCCCCCATAAAATTCCTACAAATGTAACCCTACATCACATTCATATATTGTATGACAAGTTGCTCAAAGGGGTTTACAAAGAAGTAAAAATACAAGACATGTTTTAGCCGCAAAGACAAATAGAAAAATGGTAGAAGGGAATGAAAAGAAATACCACTGGTGACCTTAAAAAGCACCACTCATCACTCATTGTAGGGATCTGGGGAAGTTTGTTATTGGGACACACAAGGCAATCAGTGACTGTTAACAGTGTGTGAAATCAATAGGCACCACTCGCTGCTGACCTCTAAAGGAAAATGGCTACCAGAAAAACCTTGTTGGAGTGTATCACCGCAAGGCAACCAGGAACAAAAAAAAAAGCTATTGTCAATTTGTATCACTCATCATCAGTTCGGAAAACAATCACAGCACACAGCTTAAAGAATCAGAATCAGAAGGAGCTTTATTGCCAAGTAGTGTTTTACACATACGAGGAATTTGCTGTGGTGATAAAGGTGCTACACATAGACAAACATACAGTCGACATAAATAAATGTAGAAATATATAAATATGGAACAGAAGAATTAACACACAAAAACAAAACAAAGCGCACCTAACACCGAGGCAGCTATACTTCACGCCATCTTGGCATAACTCCATTATCACTCTGAGAATCATGATGATATCTTAGAGTGACAGGGCTGTTAGGGGTTAACAGTAGCTTACTTGTAGATGAAATAATGGCACACTGAAGAAGGCAAAAAGACGCACTGAGTTGGTCCATCAATTGCAACCATTTAGCATTGTGCATGCTCACAGTGCCTCTTTTTCATAACAGCTGGGTGTTCATTGCTGCTCAACATTCCCAATTCAACTAAACCAAGACCCAACAGTTCTATGAGGCTGTACTTAGGAAAAGCGGTGCACTCACTTAAATGCTAACTTCATCGTGCTAACATGCTCACAATGACAATGCTAACATGCTGATGTTTTGCCGGTATGATGTTGAACATTTTTACCATCTTAATTAGCACTAAACACAAAGTACAGGTAAGGCTAAAGGAAATGTCAGTTAGTTTTGCAGGTAGGCTATTTGGTCATAAACCAAAGCATTGGACAAATTTAACTTTTTACCTAATGATGAGGCTAGATCATTAGTCAGGGTATCAGCAAATGTCAGTATCAATTTTTTTGGCCAGCCATAATGGTTGTTATATTTCAGCCTGGACCAAAGTGGTGGCCGGCCGATTGCAGAGGCAAACTGATGAAAATGAGACAGTCTTGGCCAATTCTGGCACATATTACACTCTAATGTTGCCGAATGTGCACTGTCCCTGACAAATAAATAACCACAAAATACAAAACTAAGAGCTGTAGCTCCTTTGGAACCAGCGCTGTGATGAAATGTGCTGCTTATTAAAAATTCTACTAGGAAGCCCTGGGAAGAAATGATGCCATGCTGATTTCAATAGTCTGACATTTCAGTCTACATAACTGGTCCATGCAGTGTGCGGTCTAGTGCCCAGGAGCTACATCTTAGAGGCGGAGTGGACCTGAGGGCGGAGAGATAAAGGGCAGACTTGGAAACTGTCTTCTGTAGCAGCTGTGTGTTTTCAACTATGTCTAGAAATGTGTGTACTGGAGTGACCCATCTACCTGTTCATATCTACAAGGTTGCCTGTAACATTGTTTTTATACCCTCTTCTGCTTTCTAGTTTAGTCGATTTTTAATTGCAGCTGATTTTTCAGGGCAGAGGGAGGGAGAGGACTGAAGGTGAAGAGCTACTGACTTGCCCCAGGGCAGAAACAGATAGATACGGAAAGAGGGAAAGAGAAAACCTTTAATCTGTACAATCAGACATCCAGGCTATGAAGGACTGATCCTCTTCCCCTATGGGTATAGTCAAGCATATAAGGCTTCTTCAGCGATTCCTTTTCTTGCCCTCAAATAAATGAACCCTGTGAGGTTTAGCCTAGATGTAAAACCTGACGAAGTCAGAAATGGGGAAAATTCCGTGTACTCTTTTATTTATCTCATTCTACAGCATATATACCTAATAACTCAAATGCATTTTGGAGAATGTTTTTAAAAATGCAGTTTCCAGATACTATTAGGGCTGCAACTGTGGAATGTTTTCATTCTTGATTAAATTGCTTGGGCTATATAGTAAATGACAATAAGAATGTCACGGAGCCTGAGGTTATGTTTTCAGATTCATTATCTGTCCCACACCCAAAGTGATTCAATTTACTATGCTATTAAAACAGTTTGTTGAAAATGAACTCACAACTTAATGCAAGCACAAATGCAAATTCCATCCACTGGTTCCACCATTGCAAAAGGTAAATATCTGATGATCTCATTGATCTCAATGTCAACATTTTGGGGGAGCTGCAAAAAGTAAAGTTTTAAACTTTGAAATTCATGTACAATACAATAGAAGCTCCATTGCTTCACAAGAACAAGCCCTCAGTCGTGTGTATACTGAACATTGGTGAAACGAGTTTGGCAAGTTGAGCTTTTCTTCCTGACTGCTCTGTCTTACAGGGCACATGCAGTAAGTAAGTTGCCTGTCTTTGCCAGGAAATGTCAGTATTCTGGCATTGGAAGGCTACAGTTCCTATAAAAACCAATACAAAACATAAATGTCCTTTGATTTTGTGACTATTCTGGACTTGATATCAGCTCACATATACACTCTTCCTGTAGCAGGTGCTTCGTTAATGCCCTTGATGTCAACTCCCCCCCTCCCCCGAAACAACAAGTCGCCACAAACTTACCTTTCCCTTCAGGTCGAGGATGAATATCGCCGACGCCGACATCTTGCTGCAGAAGAATCCTCGACAACAAAAACTAGCCTTTATGTTATGTGGGTCTACTGTAAGATATGGGTCACTTAAAGGGAATACTATTAGCTCCCATCATCCTCCTTCCTCCTCTCCTCCACTATCTTCAGTCGTTGGCGTTTCACTGCAACTCGCTGCTTTTCCGGACCGGATTGTCAAGCTAGCTGCAGTACAGGGAACACAACTTCCGGCGGTTAGGTGATGGGATTTTTACTTTAATTCACCCAAGATTACAAATGGTTTAAAGTACCTAACTGTAGGCCTATTTGAGTTATTTTTGACTTTACTTGAGTAATTCAATTTCGTTCTAGGTACCTGTTTCATTGTATGTTTAACTTTTCGCAGGTAAGATTTGACATAAAAAAATATGATTAGTTAATAAAAATATTTATTAGATGAATCCTGCAATCCACATGATGAATGCAGTTTACTTGTATTTGAGGATAACAATTGCCAGTTATAATTCACAAAAACAGATGATGCATTACTTTAAATATCACTACCAAACAGTAAATAAGTTCAAATTCGTTTTTGTTCAACCTTGAAAAGTCATAACTACACATTCATTTGTCAGTAATAACATTCAAGTAACCTATTATATATTACCATTTTGATTTCATTTTGCTGATAATACTTTTACTTGAATGCAAAATGTGTACTTTTAATTGATTCTTTATATTTTGTTGTATTGATACTTTGACTAAGGCTAGCTAGGCCTACTTTAAAGGTCTAAACACTTAATAGTACTGAGTAATCTATTTACATGTATTAATTCATTAAGAAAGACAGTAATACAATGCAATCCCTTTAGTATTTTTACACTGAAGTGGTGGGCTATATTAATAAATAATCATTTTTGTTATAGTGCTGATTTGTACGTATTTTACACACACATAATTGCTGACGATTTTAAAGTTTGCCATTTTATTTTGAAGGCGGGATCGCCATTGTTCCGGTTTTGCAAGTGCTTGTCTATGCGAACTTGACGCGCCGTGTTTCCGGGTAGGAGCCTCGCCTGACATCCTCACACAGAACTGTCAGACCGCTCTCATCAGCTGGATGGTCTCAGAGGATCCGAAATGCTCCAGGCCTCTTTTCGAGACACAGTGTCAGGCTTAATCACTGTTGTTGATACCAGTGTTGTAAAGTTTAAAAAGAAAGGTGAGTGTGATTACTCCCGTTGGTGACCAATGAAGCAAACAGCAATCAATTGCCAAATGGTGGAGACAGCTGCCGTCCTCAGAAGTTCCATGCATTGTTTGGATTTAAAAATAGACTCGACCCATGCAGTCCAGGTGACATTGTTTCAGTAACGACTGAATTTTTATTGAGGTTACACTGTTTAGGCTACAATTTCCTGACCGAACCACATGATGAGTTTACAGTAGGGGAAAACTGAATTCATGCACAGCCCCAATCTACCATTCTAAAAATAGCATGTGATGTGGAAAGTAACTAATTACAAGTAGGCTAATGCTTTGACTATAATTGATTCAGCCTACTTTTTTCATGTGGCAGTAGCTGTACCTTTTCTGAGATTAGTCAAATGTGTAAAAGACATTTCGCACTTTACTTTTGAAAAATAAAACATTTAACACAGATGCCGCAATAACACAATAAAGATTCACATTTAAATTTGCTTCTCTCTTGTAAAGCTATTGATCTGACTGAAAGAAAAGATGGTCTTCACTTTGCAGAGCATTGTGTTCTCATGTTACTTAGTTGCTACTCTATAACACTACTCTTAGCATATTTATGTAGGCTTTTAAGTAAATGCCAAATTGGTTTCCCATCATATTATATACCCATGCATACTGCATCTAAACCATTGCTTGTGTGTTGCTGACAAAACATGACCTTCCAAAGTGAAATGTTCCTGTTTACATTCAGCCCAAATCACACAGATATTTAGTTAATGTTTATGTTCATATATACAGAAGACCCTTTGTGACCCTTTTTGGTATTGAAAAAACACACACAAAAAACAGAAAATCTTGCTGTTTCAGGACATTTGATTCCTCTTATTAACACTTGCAACTAAGAAAGGTATTACTATTACTGTTGTCAATATACTGACAAAGACGGTATAACAAAAGTGACTTATGAAAGTCCTATGTATATTCTGAAATTCTCTGTAATGTATCCTCAGATCGCACATTCTTTCAACTTCTTTGTAAGTACTAATTAAGTACTACTAATTAAGTACTTTTGTGCCGCCTTAAAAATAAGACACTCTTGAGCAGTAGTATTTACAGTTTTATGCTTTCTTAGACTTAACCAATGTTTACCAAGTGGCCATTTTATGATCGACAATATGAACCATACCAAAGAAAAGGGGAGTGGAATTGGTGGCCCAAGGTGGTTTATTGCTGAGGAGATTTAGAGACAGTCCTACTAAGCGATTGTAAATTCAATTTCATCCATTTCTTCCTCTGTGTCCTCCATCTTCTCTGCTGCTCTTTCAGCCCTCGCTCTCTCACTGGCCGGGATGTAGTTGTCCTCAATGAAGCCATCATCATCCTCCTCGCTCACAGGAGGGATACAGTGAGGGTTAATTCCATGACCCCTCTGCATAGCAAATTCTACCTCCAGCCCTGGAAGCAGCAATAGAAACACAAGAGTTGTACGGCATTAGGACTAACCCTCTATTTAAAGGTAAATGCTATATGTTATTCTAACTGACTGTGTTTAGAAAAATGAAAAAATGCACAAGTGAAAACTGTAATCTGTATTGTCACATTGATGTACAGCCTGAAGCTGCTTTACCAGTGACAAATTAACTGGATTTATGTGATCAGATGAAGTTTGACAGAATGTTACTGACAATGAGCTTTTAATGATTATTGTTTTATCGGCTCACAAGCAGAGTGTGGCTTAAAAAAAATCATTATTGATGCTGTCACATTTTCTAGCTTTTAGCCAAGTGTCAGATTCTGCTTCTGAAGTGCAAAGTGTTTTTAGTCACAAAGTCTGTCTGTCTGCCATTTGGTGCTGGGCAGGTATTGTCAGTTAATCTAACCTTTTTCGCAGAAAACAGCAGGCCATAAAACTAAAACAATGAGCTCAAAGAGACTAAAATGCTCCATACGGCTAAGGGGGATTGAATAGTTGGGTGATACTTCTCTATTCTACTAAACTAGTAATTTGATTGTTGATTTAAAAATATTGTTTGACAAAGCTTAAGCAGTCGCTAAACACACTGTGGCAACACAGACACTTTATCCATGTTTTTATTTTTTTTCTGCATTCTAATATTTATTCCAGAAATAATATTGGTGCTATCTCTGTAAAACATAAAACACATCACCTCTTGTGTAACCAAAGGGAAGAGGAATTAAAAGCTTTGGTGAACTAGGAGAAGGTTGAATAGTAAAACAAAAGCTTTACATTTATTGTTTCTTATAAATTCACAAATTTATTTTGTTTAGCTCCTAAATGTTTATGTCATCATCAGTGAAGCATCACTGTTTTCAATGCTGAATACAAACATGGCTGAGTGCCAAATATAGCAGAAATTCTACATACTGTACAAAGAAAACATTTGTAAATAAAGGTATGCGGGTACAAAACCAAACCTGACGGGTCACACTGGCTAACAGTGTCTGTCTCTCTGAGCCGTGTATGCCTATAGCTGGCCAGGTAACGCCGAACCACATGGCATTTAGCCAGAAGGGTGATGAGAATTGAGACAGAGATGGCTGTGACCAGGACGGCCACCAGGAACTCCCAGTTGTGAGAGGTATTTTTGCCTGTTGGGTTTATCAACGTGTCTGCAAGAGAGAAAAATTAATCACATCATACTTCATCAGTTATGATTGTGAAGCAGCCTCCTGGTTTGATAATAAACTGGTGTTTTTATCCTTGTCATTGAGGAAAGCACCTAACCCTTTTCTCAGCTCAGTCCCAATCATTTAATTATGTATAACTTGTTTTAAGATGGCTGTCTATACCAAATATTATCCAGAATCTGATTTATAGTAAGACTGGCAAGACTGCAAGCCCATTTTTCTGAGGATAAATAAATTGTTTCTGTTTGGCATTGCAGATATAAGTGAATTCTTACCATTTTGCGTCTCTGTTGGTGTAGCTGTAGAGGTTATGCCCTTTGATGAGGGTTCCATCTGGCTTTGCTTTTGTTTGTGCAGTCTCTTTTGGGGTGTGACTTCTTCTGTGTGGCTCAGTTTGCCTCTTGTTAGATAAGACCTGTCTCTTGCTTTGGGGCACCATTAACTCTAGCATGAAACCATGGATCATGTGTATATTTCACACATATGTCAAAGAACAGTTCGTTGTGACCTGCTTTCTATAATATCCAGCAGACTCTTGCCTCCTGTAACTGAAGTTGCAGAGAAGGTTTAAATTCCTTTACCAACCTTCCAATGTGCAAAGCTGGTCAGTGTTGTTTTGTCTTCAGCAGGTAAAAAATAAATGGGATCTAAGGGAAATGTTGCAGGGCAGGCATCTCCCCAGATGAGGGAGGTAGTAATCTGAAAGATTTCTGTTGACCAGGAGGGAGTTAAACCATCAGAGCTCCACTAGGTGGCAAGGTTGAGTGACAGGGGAGTCATCGGTTCAGTAATAAGTGAAAGGTGTGGGCAGCGGTAGAATCCTATGTACATATGAGTTGCAATATGAGCCAGCGATCTCTTGCTGCAGTGAAATGAGGCTTTAGAGAAAGTGTGAAAGAGAAATAGAGAATTAAATCAGTATGAAAATTTAAATTTTACACACTTGCCTGCAAAGGCAAAAAGAAAACATATCAGCTTTTTCAGTTATGTTGAATATCAGTAAACCACAATGCTCCTATATCCCATGTGCATTATGGCTTTGAATTCTTTTGGACTCTTTGTGCCAGTAAATGCATATTTCATAACTGAGCCACACAAAAAGAACATGAACAATCAAATGACCTAAATATTTCACTTAGTATGTATGAAGAGTGAGCGAGTCATCAGAAGAAATAGACGCTGCCTGGATCTTTTAAATCCAGAAATCATAATTGAGTACAAGCTGTCAGGAGCTCAGGAGGATATCATGCACAACAGGAAAAGTGTGTCGCAAATAGGAAGTCCCACATACTGTAGGACCTTCCTCAGTGGGTCTAGCTGACACAAAACACTGGTAAAATGTTTGTGTTAATGTGTGTGTGTGTGTGTGTGTGTGAAAGAATATGACTACCAGAATATGTGCTTCACAGCTAACAACAATAATCAATGATTCTCAGAGGACAATAAAAAAAGTCTACTGGACATTATTTCTTTAGAACAACAACTTTAAAAGCTTTTCAGTAAAATTGACGTGACACATGGCCAACATATAAAGGCACCATCAAAAATGACCTACATTAGGTTTTGAAGGACAACTTCAACATTTTGCTTAGTCTGCCAGTCCAAGACTGGAAAAAGGGGAAAACAGCTAGCCTGGCTCTGTTGAAAATAGGGCTGGGGAATAAAACAATGTTGATAATTACTGCAAAAGGTGTTGGTAGGTGCCAGGCTAGCAATTTCTCCTTGTTTCTAGTCTATGTGCTAATCTAAGCTAACTTGCTATAACTCTATATTTACTTACAGACATGGGAGTGGTGTTGATCTCATGTAACTCTTCACAAGAAAGCAAATAAGCGTATTTCCCAGACGCTAAACATTCTCGAAAACTCACCAAAACTTTGCACACAATTCAGGCGTGGCAAGGCCCATACAGAGCAGCCTCTGGACAAAGTTTCACCTACAGGTACGTGTAAGAAATTTCTGTGGTACAAAAAAGCCTCTTGGACCCATAGCCTAAACCGAACAGGAAGTTGGCAATTTAGGATTTAATGGTAATTTTTGACGATTTACACACTTTGTACTTTAACAAACTCCTTCTAGGGAATTAGTCTGATCGATTTAAAATTTTTGATGTGCAGTCTAAACCCATTGACGATTAGTTGTACTGACGGTTGTACTGATAACGGTTATTATCAGTCGACCAGTTTGCCCATGGCGTGTCACCAAAAATCGATGATTCGCCGTGAAACAGGAAGTTGTTAAAACGTCTGTGAACATCCTCAAATCTGCACCAAATTTGATATGTATAATAAGAGTCCCACCCTGAACACACCCATATGCCAATATTCACTCAAAGTCATAGTGCCACCCGCTGGCAACAGGAAATTACACATTTTACTCTGTCATGTACTACTCCGAGCAGGTTTGCCATATCAACTTCAAAACTGTCCCAGAAAACCCTTAACACGTGGACGAAGCCATGTTTAAAAAATGCCGTGGTGGCAAAGTTCCACGCTTCGCCATGACACAGGAAGTTGTTGTAACTTGACTGTACATGCTCAGATCTGTACCAAAGTTTACACATTTAATAAGAGTCCCGCACTGAACACAATGTACATGCCGACATTCACCTACAGTCATAGTGCCACCTGCTGGCAACAGGAAATGACCTTTAATGAAGCAGCCCCCGCAGCACGTTTCACCTACATGTATGAAATTTCTGTGGCACAAAAAGCCTCTTGGAGCGATGCCCTAAATCCAACAGGAAGTCGGCCATTTTGAATTCTGTGCCCATTTTTGGATAATTTAAACACTCTGCACCAAACTTTAAGTGCTTGATAACAGTCACGCCCCAAACACATCTACACGCCAATATTCAGTTATAGTCGTAGTGCCAAGTCCTATGTAGTGCCACAAAGGAGACAGAGGAAGTGATGATTAACACCTTTGTGCAGCGTCGGAAGTGCGTAGCAGAGCTCCAGAATCTGCACCGTGCCCGCCTCACACCTTGACGCAATACATGTGCGAGGGCCCACCCAACGCTACTTGCTGCTTTAATTTAGTCCTTGGTTTCAGTCTGATAGTTGTATGACTCTACACTTGCAGAGATATTTGTGAGTGAGTGTGATGGTGTTCTGAATGCAAATACAAATATGTTATTCATAGAAACCTGTGGTTGAAAGAGAGAAAACCTTTGCATACAGCTATTTGCATATTTGTCAGATATTTTTCATGCATAAGTCTACATTGTTGGCTGCCTGTGTTTACAGTAGAGCTGTGAGGATGCAGTCAGACGAGTTTAATATGCCATGCTAGCACCTGTATTTTTGACCTGTATTGTTTACTTTAAGATGTTCAAGGTCATAGTAAAGGACATAGAAGTTGGATTTTTTTCATAGATTTGGATTTGATACATTTAATTGTCTCTGTTTTCATGTTGCCATGCTAGCGGTTTCCCCCTGCTTCCAGTCTTTGTGCTAAGCTAAGCTAACTGGCTGCTGACTATAGCTAACTTCATATTTACCGTACAGGCACAAAAGTGTTATTGATCTTCTCATCTAACTCTAGGCAAAAAAGAGAATGACCATATTTAACCATATCACTATAACCAAAAATCTCAAAGAATTATCTTAATAGGAAATAGTGAACTTGTGAATTAGTTGAAAATATTAAAGTTGATTATGTCTACATGTTTTGACAAATGGCCAATCTTGCAGAAGGATAAATTCCTAAGAGTAGGTTGCAATTATGTTTCACCCTCTGAAATAACTGTCTTGACAAGCAAAAGTAATTCAGTATCTCATTCACATTTTCTTTCTCCAAATTGTGGTTTTTGCGTTATTTTGCCATCTTTGTGTGCATAATTGTGTATCTCTCTCTTTCTTGGCTTTGAGGTGATTTTTCACAGCCTTCTCGTCTTCTACTGCTGTTCTCTTTGGCAGTGTTGGCTGTAAACACACCAACAGGGTTGCCTTTATCTCTTCCTGTTCTGTCCTCACACAACCAAAGCAAAACAAAATATACACACAGTATGCTAGCACAGGACCGGGAGCAATAGGAGGGAAGCCTGGGAGTGAGAAATATATGTGTGTCAGATGTGTTTGTGAGCTCTACTGTGCACTGCTACTGTACATTGGTTTATGTTTGTACGTGAATATGCACGTGAATGAGGCTACATTTGCATCTTTGTCTGCAGTAGTCTGTGTTTGAATAACATTCTCAAAGAGAGGAGTTTTTCTCAGTCATTCTTTGTTTCAGTGTATGAGTTGATATCAATTTATAGACACTAATGATGGCCAGGGGATGTAAAATGTTCATTCTATCATCAAACTGAATTAAACATCAAAATTATGGTTCTGCTCATGAAGTGTGATCACATTCCTTTGAACAGACAAATTAACTGTAAGCTATTTTATGATTTGAAATTTGATCATGCTGGCTGAGATGTCAGCTTATACAGTGGTTAAGAGGACAGCTCTTAAGTAAATTTTGAGGTACTTGTACTTACAAAATGCAGTTAAAAATTTTTTTTATTGTTAAAAATAGTATTTTGAACAAAAGTACAGCCAATTGCTGTGTTTTGTGGTGGATTTGCTCCAAACGTGTGTTGCCAACAGGGGAGGAGCAACACTCATAACATGATTGAAGGACCTGGCTTCCGTTTCTCTGTTTTGATTGTAATTTATCAGCTGCTATAAACACAGATACTGGTTTATTTGCAGTGAGGTCAATATTGGCACACTGATTTATTGGTTGCCCTCTAATAGTTGCCTGTTCTGTTTTGTGACCACTTACACAAACGAAGAGCCTGCTTGTGGCCCCTCGTCACATTGTAGATGACTATGAGATGTTAGCAATGTCACCACTAACCAATTTTTCCAGGTTTTTTTGATGGTTATAAGGGCCAAAGGATCCAGTATTTCACCAAGAAATACAGAAAGATCTAAAGAAATTTGTTTAGGAGAACCTTCTTTTTTCTTCTTTCCTGCCCTATTTAATCATCTTGCAAACCCTCAGATTTCTTGTGATCCACTGAAGAGTCAATGGTTGAGAATCACTCAACTATACCAAATTGTAGATCCGTTGACTAGCTCCACCTCGACCAGCTATGATAGTAAAATGCTACTGATTAATGTAACAGTATAAACTTTCTAATAATGTAATAAATACTAATATATCTGTCTTGCACGCAATGCATTAGATTCATATAACGTATCACCCAACTCATACTTCACTAAGCAAACATCTCTCTCCCTGGCTAAGATAATCATGGCTATTCATACATCATAGAAAATCAAAGAGCTGTCCTTCAGTTGACCCTCACCCCAACAATCCACAGAGCAACAAGCAGCAAGCTTCCCTCTTTCCCTCTTATCTTCCTGCCAAGATCTGTATTTTTGTCTTGCTTTGAAAATGTGTGGAGGAGTCAGCCTGTGCCATTGTTTGTCGAGGATAATGGCATAAGGTCTGATGAGTTCAAAAACAGCTTGCAGAGACATTGTTTATGAGCATGACACTGTAATTCAAGCTCATAGAACCTCTGTAAAATATTTTGGTATGAAAACTACACCTTTGAATAATGATAAACCTATTGTACATTTTTGCAAGGTTATAATAGCTTATGCAAAGTGCCATAAAATGTCATGTTTGGTTTTGTGTCAACAGAAACCACGGTGACAAAATGGATGAAAGTCAATCTTAAGGCTAATACAACAACACACTACATAACCTGCATTAATGCTAAATGAACAGTTGTAATTTAGTGATAATGGTGCGTTACTGTTTTGGGTGAAAACAGCAAGTGACCAACATACAACAGGTGCAGGAAATTATATCAGTGTTATATCAAGTCAGTCAAGTGGATTTTACTGGCAATGCCTTTTGCAGTCTGTACCCCTTTTTAGTCAAGACCCAAAGTAAACCTTGACTCTACACTTTTTGGAATTTTTAACTAACACATTTTAAGCACATTGTTACATTTTAGTACATTATTTGGTACTTATTGCTTATCAGTGTACATGATCAGCTATTATCCAACAATCAAATCAAGACAGTCATGTGATCTTTACATAGTGCAACACAGTCTGTAGACGAGACTGTCAAAGCTCACACTTTTAGAAGACCAGCTGTCCTTTCCAGTCTTACCTGGCTGTGTAGTTTCCTCTAACTTCAGCAAGTTCACCTGCTGTCTGTCCACGCTCACATTTCACATGAGCCTTAACTCATTTTTTTTTTCTTTGTCTGTAAAATGGAGAAATGTTGTGCAAAGGTTGGAGAGGTGTGCTCTGCAGCTGCTTCCCAGAAGGACAAGTTAATGGGTAACTTTGTTACTAAGGTGTGCTCCCTCCCGCCTACTATTGCTTCTCTCTGTCCAATGGCAAAGCAGACCTGGTCAGAAGCAGTGCGGTCTCTCAGCAGTGCGAAACCAGGAAGAGGCTAAATATGACCAATGAACAATGTGTACTTTTTTAAATAGTAACTACTATCGTGCATTTAAACTGTATGCAACCTGTCAAACCTGCTTTCTTGCAAATAGATGTTCTGTTACTTTAGATACAGTTCCAGTGGATAATCAAATCTGTTTGATATCTGCTTCATGTAGCTTTTGCCTTTTTTTTTTGCTCTTTTTGCAGTGTGTGTGTGTGTGTGTGTGTGTGTGTGTGTGTGTGTGTGTGTCTAAGTAAGCGTAGTTTAGTTGCCTGCCAGGCACCACGCCTTGCTTTGTTTATTTAAAATGTAAACCCTTTCCTCAGTCCTTTTCAGATGAAGGAGGAAATCAGACAAGATACAGTTTGTGGCGACAAGGAGTTTTGTTTATTTAAGACGTACAGCCTGAGGGGGAGAGAACAGAGCTCTGGTGGCTCTGAAAGGAAAAGCAAGGTGACCCTGAAAACAATAGGGCCACTTCCTGGCCACTCGGCAGTGCAATCTGCATCTTCACATCTCCCTCCCTTACTCTTCCTCCCTCCCTCCATATGTTCCAGGATGCTTCAGCTGCATGTCTTGGGGCAGATGATAGGGACAGGGATGGGTTGGGACAGTAAAATGATAACTCAGCATCAGCTGAAAGAAGCAGTAGTTTCCCACCATACTAGGGATTGTTTGCTGTAGGCTGACTGTTGGGACTGTTACAGTTACTTTATGTATTCAGTTTGGGGTATCTATTCAGAGTGCAACTAAACAAAAGAAATGACTTGGACCGACAACACTGAGGCCCTCTTCAGGAAAGGACAGATCAGGCTGTTCTGTCATTTTCTTTGCTGTGGTGTGCTGGGGAGGTGGCATCGGGACTTGTGGTGCCAACAAACTGGGCAAGCTGGTGAAGGCGGCCAGCTTGGTGGTGGGGATAGAACTTGAGAAGAGCGAAAAGGAAGCTGACGGACAACCCCTCTCATCCTCTCTATGCTGAGCAGCTCAAGGGCACTTTCAGCCATAGATTAATCCAGCCCCAGGCCTCAAAGCGCTTAGGAGGCTCATTTGTGGCATCAGCCATCAGACTCCACAAAGCTATATCACCCAGTACCTCCCACCTCCACAAAGCCATAGCACCCAGCATCTCCCATCTACGCTTATAGAGACTTAAACGGAAAAGCACAACTCTCAAATTTTTTGCACATGCACACATTACCTCAGAAACTTTGCATATGTACAGATATACACATTCTGTTCTATTTTGAGTGTTTATAGTGTGTAAATATTTATATTTATTATTGATTCTACTTTTATTGTATTTTATTCTTTCTTTTACTCTTGTGCTGCTGTGCCAGTTTGATCAATAAAAGAACATCTTATTTTATTTTTTAAAAAGACCTCATCATTCATTACAAAATCAGAATTTACCGGCCATTGTGGGGAAATTTGGTCATTTCAACAGAAGTGAATTAGAATAAGAGAGAATGGAGGTGAATATCTTGATATTGAACATGTGTTAATTGATTTTTTTGGCCACTTGGGGGCAGCAAAAACACGCTGACTTATCACCCTTTAACTGGTTAGCAAAGAGTTGCTTATTTACACAAAGTGCTCGTAACCTCAGCGTTCATTTAGAGTTTTGTATGTGTCGACCTGACAAATGGAAGTCCAATATTAACTCTTCTTTTAGCTCTCTTTTTCCAGCAATTTAGACATCTGTCTAATCAGAAAGATGTTAATTTAAGTTTTTACAGATATTTGATGTCAAATGTTTTGCTGGTAATGTCTTCAGTCCATTTACAACAGGCAAACATAAACATGGTCATGGTCATTAGTTGCACTGGTGGAGCCATACTCAGATTCTGGATAAGATTTTTGGAGGAGACCAGGGGCTTTCCTCACTTTTTCTACCGTGATTTGTTTGTCCTCTGAGTGAAGTGGTTGGAGGCTGCGGTCACGGCCCCTTCTCTGGGGAAGATGAGAAGGTCTTGCTAAGTCTTTTAAGAGGAGGGAAATAACAACACGTGTCATATTTTACAAAACAATGGACTGTGAGACTTGAGGAAGAGCGATGTGACAAACAAGCCTGCAACTGGCCATTAAGTATCAAGAAGAGACAATCCACAGCGCTCAGCAGGCAGAGAATTTTGCGAGAGGCAAGAAAAATTCTCTGCCTGCTGTAAACCATTGTGATCTGCAACCACCTGTAAATGTGTCAAGGTTTTAGTCGCACATTATTCACATTTTTGTGAGTTTTTGAGTCCATACATTACCTCCATCTGGAAATGTGATAAAGTGAGTGAGGCTCTCTTCACATCTGCTTTAAATCTGTAAATCTTTTGATGAAACAGCTGCAATTTCATTTAAATTCAACATTATTCTCTGAGTGGTCTTTTATTGTAATGACTTGTATATTAAATGTGATACTCTCTATCTGGGCTCTAATTTCATTAATCAGGGTGCCTTGCACAACGTGCTTCTGCACACAAATATAGGCCCTTTTGTCTTTTATGCTTCATATCCTTCACTCTGCTGCGGTGATGACCCAGTTTCAACAGAGAGGTCCTTTAAGATTCATCTAATTTAATCTAATATAAGAGTTTCCTGATTATATGTGCTCAATGGTGTAACATTACATGTCTCACTAGCACTAACATGCAGTGAGAAGAGTATGAGTCTATTTGTTTGGCTTGAGCTCTTGCCACTTCTTGCAGGTGTACTATATAGAACTTGAAGAAACTGATACTATCAGACTTTCCGTTTCTCTTTTTGATGGTGGGGGGTGTTTATTTCTTTTTGGTTTTACTCTTCAAGGTGAATGAATACATCCTATTAAAATGCCTACTGTATATAAAACATGAAGCTGGATACTTACCTACCCTCAAAAGATTTCGGGTCTGTGTTTAACCACCTGAACACTTCCTCTGTGAGGAAAATGATTTATCCAAATGGTGTGTTAATCTGTACTTCCTATGACCTTACTGTTTGTTTTATCATGGTTATGTGAACGCACTAACAATACATTGACATTAACTCGCTATAGAAAAATGCTCCCACAAACGCAGAAACACGTGTGTAAGTGTAAACGAAGCTGCATTAAGAATGTCAGTGGCTCACTTTGTTATGCCTCTGCCTGGTTACTGTAGATCTGCTAACTTCAGGAGATTAATGTAAAAGTCAACACATTTTAATGATATCCAACTGTGCATTTTTCTAATCCCTCTGTGAATGCTGTGAGAATATTTATGCGAAAAGTGAGAGTTCTGCAGGATTCAGTAATGGTTCAGCAAGGAATTTGTGTTTGAAATGGTAATGGTAATAATGACCCTGTATGAAAGACTTACTACTACTACAATTTCAGGTTTCGCCTGCAGAAGAGATCTGTTTCTGCAACTGCCTCTGCAAGTGTCCACTCTATGTAAACAGTAAGGAAATTATTTAGGGGCTTTAAATCACTGCACACGTTTTGCTGCTGGCTACTTGTTAAATCACTAGATGGATCCATTTTCATGGGTTGTTGGATGGAAGCCACAAGAAAGCTTACAAAACAAGCCCTTTATATCTATAAATGTTGTTGTGGTCAATGCAAGAACCTAGTCTTTATTGCAGAACTGTGTCCAGTTGCTGTCTAACTAATGTTCTTTGCTCCAAGACAACTCCTTGTAAAGGTATTCAAGAAGGCATTCAGAAAGCTTTAAGAAGCCAGTGTTTTCATCTCAAGCATTTGGGAGTGCCATGTTTTGGCACATGATTAGTGCATAAATCTAAAAGAACCAAGAAAGACATTTTTTTTTTTTTTTTTTTTTTTTTACTTTTGCCTACATTAAAACTTTTTCTTTTTGCATTAAGCAGTAAGGCTAAACCAAATGAATAATTTTTGGCCTTTGCACACCAAACCCAATGGAAGCGCAAAGAATGTTGCATTTCTTGTTTTAGCTTCTTGCCAATTAAAATCCTGTTACCCCTACTAAAGCAGATGTGCAGTAAACAGTGGATTTCCTACAATGGCTTACACTTGGCAGAATGGCATTGTATGCAGAGCAGCACTTTTGTATGTAAGAAAATGTTTTAAACCAACTTCCTCAGTAAGTACGGGTGCATGCATGCTTTGGCACCAACAGCCATCCAGCTCTCCCTTGCTGTGTCCCTCCCACTCAATGGCTGATGGGAACGAGAACCTATGGACTTCAAAACTGTGCGAGCATGTCTGTGTATTTGAGTCTGTGTGTGTTCACAAAACAGCTATCAGACAGGAGCCGAGACCCTCCACCTCCACCCCCACCATCACCTCCACAGGCCTTTTCCTGCCTGTAGGGTGATTCCTGCCCCTGCGCTCCCTCAACTTCCTTCACACACATATCAGCCTCCAGCAGCAGTACCTCTTCCTGAATCTGGCTCAAGTTCTCTGGACACTTTGGACAAGAAACAACAGCTCATCCATCTCTCTCTCTCTCTCTCTCTCTCTCTATCTCTCTCTCTCTCTCTTTTTTTTTCTTACTAAGTATTTCCTGACTCACTCTATAATTTTTAACTCATCATCTTACATAATTTCTCCAGGTAACACATTGTTGAATTGTGCTTCTGGGGCCTCTGTTCCTATAGTCTCAAGGCAAATTTGCACAAAATCTCTGCTCTTGATTTTTTTTTCTGCCTTTCAGCACAGCACTCCCAGGGTGTTATTCAACTTCCTTGAAACACCTATAATATTCCAGACATGTTGGCTGGATTCAGTACCACTCCCTTTCCACAATTTCCTTGATACCCATGTTCTGATGGGACAGATATTCTATTTCTGTAATTAGGATTTAGAGATTAGCATCTCTAACTTGCATAATAATAGCTATGAAACAGCTGTTTTATCTTTAGCTTCTGACCATTTCTAACAAAATTAAAATTAAAACTAT